CGGTTTACCTGCTTTTTTATTACTTCTTGAAAAACATACACTTGTTGTTGTGGGCACCAATCCCTCATTCCCATACTTTTTTTCATAATTCAACACAAGTTTATTTTTGTGTACACGGCTTTTAAACATTATATTTACAATCTGTATTTACAGTTATACAATAAGTAAATGTGATGGTGATTGATTGGCAGGAAGGGGAAGTCGCCCAGTGACGGCACACCGTGGAAAGTGAATTAAGGAGAGAGTAGGTCCCTACACCAGTTCCTTTTCAGACGCCTGGGTGGATTACCTGGAATTTGATTGGATGAATGTTGGATGATTATAGGATTAGAGTGAGTACTGAATGTTTTATGTGTTTTTTTGTAGGTGATATTGGCATGGCTGTTTAAGATTGGAATGCAGATGTCTTTATGAAGTGACTCATTGGTAATATACCAAGAGGCACCTGATATTAGACGTAGACAAATAGACTGAAATGCCTGAATTGTTCTAGTATTTGAGGGTTTGGCTGATCCTCAAAGTTGTATCCCATAGTACCACATGGGTTTTAAAAGAGTCATRTATATTGTTCTTTTGGTTTTTAATGAGAGCTTTGAGCTGAGTAAGGGTCTAAGAAGGTGGAGTCTTGTATTGAGAGCCTTACGCTTGTTTTTTAAGTGGGGACCCCATGTAAGGCGTTTGTCAAGAATTAAACCTAAATAATTAGTTTGCGTGGAGGATGGAATTTGAGCATTAACAATAAAAGTTGCGGGACATTCTAAGGAACGAAGTGTGAAGGTCTTTTGAGGGGGTTTATATGGATTAACTTGGATTTTCCAGYCGTGAAACCAGGTGTTTAGCACAGTTAGATGGTTTTGGATTTTTTGGGCAGCTTGGACGGGAACGTTGTCAATAGCAAGAATACAGTGGCATCCGCAAACGTACCAAGAAGTGTGCTTTCGTTTCACTACCTTGGGGAACACCAGCAGTTGCTATTTGAGAGTTGGATAAGGCGCCGTTAATTTTTGTAACAAAAGTTCGTTGGTTTAGATAAGATTTTATTAGTCAAACACAATTGAAAGATATGCGAATTTTTTGTACATTACTTTTCGCGTGATCAAGACAGCGTCCGACTGCTGACATAATCAATCACACCTCGCATGCCGAACTACTGCGAGTAACACAAAATTGTTGTGCATTATACTTTTTGCGTGTAGATGACGACGTCGGACCGCTGACAATCCAAACCATGCGATTGACGTCGTACTATTGCCAGTAATGCTAATTTGTTATAAATTACTTTATGTGTGACGATGACGACTTCAGGAGGTACTATTGGGAGTAAATTTAATAATAAACGCGARTTGTTTGTACATTTCTTTTCGTGTGATCATGACGACGTCCAACCGTTCGTTCAGACCAATATTAAATTACAATAATAAAATGTATTTTAGTGAATTACTTATGGTTTTTTTCATCAATGATACAGGAATTCAATTTTTACAAAAAATTAATGTTATTAAAGTGAATGAAACTTGTGAAAATGGCCATATAATGATTATCATGGGATCGTGATGGTGGTGTCAGAAAAGAAGTTGCCGGAAGGAAAAAGGTTTAAGAGTCTCATTTGGMAGAATTTATGTGTAGAATACGTCTCGGAAAAAATGATGCATTTGAAACTAACTATATTAAAAGATATTTCTGAGTYCTGGCCTTCTTTGTAAATTTATATCATTATTTTTTTAAATTTATAATTATAATACATTTTCAAATTTTTTTATTGTATTATAGGTAATATATTTTATTTATGGTGGAGCGATAACAAACAAGAGAGGCGGGGAGATACATTTTATACGGTGTGCTGGCGGGGCGATAACAAACAAGTACCTACCCAATGCACTATTTTGATGAGTGCCTAATTTTTCGTTTGCTTAAAATCACCGAAGATTTAAATTTGTTAAATCTGCATAATAAAAACTTACAATGAGATACTGTATAACGTGTCGACATTGGCGTACGAGTTGAATAACGGTTATTGGAAAATATGTTATATTTTATATATATTTTACAAAAAATTATTATTAAAACTTATAACAATTTTACAAATTACAGGTAAAATGGATGTTACTTGTCTTCTATTTTATAAATACTATTTAATAGGTAATAGACAATAGGTACCTACTACCTATGTGGCTATGTATGTTTTATTTCTAAGATTTGTCACCGACTACGCCTACATTTAATACTAATTATTATATTATACAAATATACAATAATTACAAATTATTGTATACAATATTTGGAAATCATAACATGATACCTACGTCTTAACGTCCTATTTTCTAAATAAAAATAACCGCTCACATGTCAAATTATTTCTTTACAAGTCACACCTAAATACCTAATATAATACCATAATAGTTAAACAATGTTTTATATTTTTATGCCTATGACATAAACATTATAAACTCAGATAGCGTCCGCCACCCGAGAGTAGAGCGCTAGTGTTGACTACAACAAACGAAATTCCCTCATATGTTAATATTGCGGTGTACTCGTTATCAATATTCGTTTTCACTTACCAGTTACCACTGTTTCCAGTCGTCAAGTCTTGAATATTATCCAAATATTTATTTAGGTATTGATATATTATTTATTTTTTTTTATAGTTTTGTGTATATCTTAATTCTTAGTTCGTGTACCAACGTCCATCTTAAACCGTGTGTACCACAGACTGAATAGGTGAAGTGATACCTCAGAACAATACAGATTGTGGAGAATAATTTAATATTATCAATTCATGATTATATTATTGAGACGGCGTCGTTGATTAATGATTATCATTACAGTATTGTAGACTGTAGTTTTCTTCGTGCGACGTGAACCACCTACTAAAGGGTCGATGATCATGGCTCCGACTATTCAAAACAATACTCAATCTCAAGAAAAAAGGCCAGTAAGACCCATAGAAAAAAGGTATATTGTTAATAATACAGATTCATTTAATCATTAGTTTTATTTCTCTTATTTCTGTGTTTATAATCATTATTCATCATTTTTAGGTCCGATTTAGTATGTAAAATGAAGTATTGCAATATGCTTCCAGACATACCTTTTGATTTAAAATTCCTCTCATATCCATTTGATGCAACAAGGTGGGATGCTCTGTTTTTTATACTTACCAATAACTTGTATTTAAGTTTTATTTTAAGATAAATTATTTTATAGATATATACAGTATAACCCAACGTCTTTAGAGAGATCATATAAGTTTGAAATACTCGCAGATCATGATTTAGGACTCAACATTGATTTGGTTAATAAAGACAAGTATTCAATAGACTATAATTTACAAATGGATATTGCTGATGAAAAACTTTTGGAAGAAGATATCTTAGCTCCACAAGATTCTAAAAGGTATGATCTTACATGTATCTACTATTTATTTGTAACACAAATTATCTTATCGAAAACAAAATCATTGATTTGTTTTTTATATAATACCTAGTATAATATATGATACCTATACTCTATTTCAAAAGAGAATATACAAAGCAGTGACGCGCAACTCATATTTTACAACATACGTTGTGAAAGGGGAAAAAAGTGCGCAGAACTGCTTTATTTTCTTTTGAAACAAAATATAGGTAGGTATAATGTGACTTTAAATAGGTAATGTCTAATCGTATGTCGAAATTATTAGTTAAAAAATTGATAGGTACTAGTGAATATCAAAATATTAAAGTTTAAGATTAGCATTTGATTTGATTCATTTTGAATTAAATTTATCTTAAAAATTATATATTGTGTTTTATACTTGTTATTTTCATTATAGATTTTTGTATCTATGATATTGATTAATAGAAATATTGAAAATATCTATCAATTTGTGTTAAACTCTATTTACTACCTAGATCAATTTTGTTAATAAATGATAATATTTCAACTACTAGGTCTAGACATCATGCCAGAAGTGTATCATGGTTACGTCGTACGGAATACATTTCTACAGAACAAACTAGGTTTCAGCCACAAACAATTGAAAAAGTTGAGGCTAAAGTTGGGTTCAGTATCAAAAAGAACTTTAAGGTACGTATAATTTTAAAAATAAAACTTCTAACTTTTTTTACAAAAACTTAAATTAATTTTTTCAGGAGGAAACTCTTTACATGGATAGAGATAGTCAGATGAAAGCAATTGAAAAGACTTTTGAAGACAATAAAAAACCAGTTGAAAAACATTACAGCAAGCCAAATGTCCATGCTGTTGAGACATTAAATGTTTTTCCAGATTTCAAGGTAACATTGAACATTTTGGAAATTGTAATTGAATTGTTGAAATAATATATCTTATTTGTTTTTAAATAGAATTGGAGATTTCCATGTGCTCAAGTTATCTTTGATTCTGATCCAGCTCCAATGGGTCGGCCTGTTCCAGCTCAAATAGAAGAAATGTCTCAAGCTATGATTAGGTAATTAATACTTGTATAATTTAATATCATCAAAATAAAAAATAATTTAAGATCAATAGTGATACTACAATTTTTATAAACATGAAAAACTAAAGCTTATAAAATTTCAGAGGTGTAATGGATGAAAGTGGTGAACAGTTTGTAGCTTACTTTTTACCATCTGAAGAAACGATTATTAAACGCCGTGAAGATGCCGCTGAAAATCGTCCATATGATGATGATTATGAATACGAATATAAAATGGCCAGAGAATACAACTGGAATGTTAAGAGCAAGAGTAGTAAAGGATACGAAGAAAATTATTTTCTTATTGTTCAACCAGATGGAGTATTTTATAACGAATTGGAAACAAGGTTTAGTTTTATCTATTTTAGATAAATATATTTTTCAATTATGACTAAACAATAGACATATATTTTAGAGTTCGTTTAAGTAAGAGACGACAAAAAATTGGTACACAAAGTAGTAGTACTAATACCAGATTAATTGTACGTCATGTTCCCATCAATGAACAAGAATTCAGTGTTCACAAATTTAGAGAAAAACAGTTACAACCATATGATGAAGAAGAAGAAGCTAAAGCTGAAGAAGCAGCTAAAAAAGCAATGCAAGGTAATAATTAAATGATCTAAATTGAAGGGTTTTGGTAAAAATAATTAAATAGATTAATGMGAATTAATTTATGCTGTGTTTTACAAATTTTAAATAAACAGCTATAAATACTATAACTTACCCTTGTGTATAAATTAAAACTTACATAAAGGATAAACAACAATTTTGTTAACTTTTGTTTTATTATTGATAACAGACAATACAATTTTTGGGTAATCAACAGGCTTACTCAGTACTCTTTATCCTTACTAAATATTTAATATCAATTTAGGCTTTAGTTGAACATTTAGAATATATTTGTTTAACAATAAGTTATCCATTTAAAATAGGAAGAAATTGGTAAAATTTTACATTTTCAACGTTTTATTTTCTAACCACGAGTCTCCGACTAATATATAAATACTGAAATGTGTACACATTGTACTATCAAATGATCCATAGTTAAACATTTAAATAAAAAATAAATCAATAATAACAGTTGTTTTATCCAAGATATTCTACTTGAATCAGAGTTTTTTCTTAATTKCCCCGAGTCCTAACTTTTAGTAATCAAATTTATTTATTTTAAATTTAATTAATATATTTTTCACTATTTATCTTTTTAATATTATTCCAGCTGCAAAAGAAAGTGCTAAGGAAATATCAACAAAAAATAAAACAGATAGTGATGATGATGATGATGATAATGAGTCTAGAAAAGGTAATGAAATCTTTAATCTATTTTAACTTTGATATTTAAAGACTGTTAATGTATGCAGTACATTTTAACATGACTATGTACAATATTTTTTAAACACTGGCTAAGAGAAGAAATTTAAAGCAAATAATAAATACATTTAAAATTAAACAACTCGCTCTTTTAAAATGTAATTTATTAGTAGTTTTGAGAAAATTGTAAAATAACATGAATGAGGTAGCTTCTAAAATCTCTACTAATTTATTTTGATAGAGTTGACTACTAAGATTTGTTTTGAAACCTGTATTATATAATTTTAATAATTTCTACAAAATTTAAGTCGCCTACCTCGGTGACCCACTATTTCAATTAGGGATGTCAATGATGTCATATTTTATTTTACTGAAACCTTTTAAGTAGTTTGTAAGGTACCATCTAGAAGTTAAATAAAAATATTTTTTGATTTACTCTTCCCTGATRACTAACTCTTTTCCCACTTTAAACTTATTCTATAAATAAGAGAAAAAAATGGTATATTTTATTAAATATCTATAACTACTATAATCATTAGTACTTATTATAATTTAAATATAATTGTATATTGCTTTATTATTTATGAACTTAAAATAAACTTTTTAATAATTATTTTTTTCAATATATTTACAGKTGATTCTAAAAAGAACAATTTAGCTTCAGATAGTGATGTTTCTGATGACAATGAAGAACATGTAGCTACAACTAACACTAAACGTGCTAGCAGTGAGACAGTTGATAGTGACAAAGAAAAAAATAATAAACGTCAACGAGCTGCTAGTGAAGTAAATTCTGATAGTGACGCTAGTGTTAAGAAATCCAACAGTCATAACCATAAAGTTAGTTCTGGAAGTGATGAAAGTGATAAATCTGATGAAGAAAATAATACCAAGGGCAAAGAATCATCTCAAAGTGGTGACAGCGAAGAGGAGCGTATAGTAAAACGTGTGTCTAGTGAAGCTAGATCAGACAGTGATAATAGTGATGTTGAAATGAGAAGTAAGAAAAGCTCAGAACGCGGGGCCAGCGAAGTTAATTCAGACTCTTCAATCACTGACAATAGTGATCAAGAAAGTAACAGAGGTTCTGATAGTGATGAATGAGAATAATTATTAACTTTTAAGACTTATTAGCATTTAAATAAAACTAAAATTGTAAATAATTTTATTAATTCCAGATTTTATATTATAAAATTATTGAACATGTAATATTCATGTTGTTTCTTAAGCTGTATTTTACAAAAATATACTATACTTAACCCATGAGGACCATTTTAACTCAAATAGTTGGACTCATAAAGTTGTGAGTTCAAATAACTGCATGTACCTATTTTTATCCTTTACTTTCTGTAGATTCTTATGATCTAATTCAATAACTAAATCTAGATCTAAATCAATATCACTATTTTTAATATTTAAAATATATTTACCATAGTGATTTAGTTAAAATATAATTATTTTACAGAGTACTATGACTTTAAAGAGTATATGGGTCTACCGTAAACTGTTAAAAATACTTAACATTTGAATATAAAATAATAAYATACAATAATATACCTTTCACATCATCAGGATATGATTGAATAGGCATGGGCTTGGTAAGAAAATAACCACTGGGCTGCTCCCAAAGTTAGTATTATGGCACATGTCAAATTAAAATATAAAACTATATAATATTATTCTTATTAAGATATCTAATCTATTTAATCTATATTTTCATAATTTTTGAAATGTTTTCACATACATACACAGTATAGGTATTTGATAGATCCACCAATCACCATAAACACATGGTCAAAAAAATCAGATTAGTCGGTCAATGCAACATATAACATCAGAAAAACATTTGCATAGTACTGAATTTCCGTTTCTATRATAGATTTTGAAAACGGGTTTGGTGAAAAAAAAGGTGTTTACTCTCAAACTTTGAAAATAACAAAATCGAGTATCGTTTGGAAGGTACCAATATCAAAGTTTGATWACAATACTTAAGTATCGAAATAGGGTTTTTTGGGTAAAGACTACAGGATGAACTCATGCATTTTGAAAATGGATTAGCAAATCTCAGCGCATCTAATGGTCATTGATTAAAGATACAGATTAGTATTTTCGAAATTTTAAAGCAAATTCTCAAAATTAATGTGGTATCGTTTGATACAGATTTAGTGAGATTAGTTAGAGTTAAAGGACAGGAATGACAAATTTTAAGCCAAATGCTAAATTGGGTGAATTAATACATAAAAAAATTATAAAAATAATAAACATAGTAAAAATAAATAATTAGGTTTATGTCATGTCAATGTTCCGGACTACTAAATTTGTATCGTGGACCGTGGTTTGCCCACAGATATATACAATATGTTATTGTATATATCTGTGGGTTTGCCCGACGTGTTGGCCGCCAATTTATAAAATTATTATGCCGGAACAGTTATACCAGTTACCAGGTTTTAGGGACAACCCGTCAAGGAAGAGAGAATAATAGAAGCAGCAGCTGCTGTCGACCAATGATGGGGAAACGTTAATACCTTAATACAAGTTCACAGTTTCACACGACTGTTCACAGGTTTTGCGATTATGTGGAGGTGTGAGGGGAAAGAAATGATAAAATAAATAATATCAATAGAAAGAACAACAGCTACTAGTTACTACAAACAGTCTATCTCTATAAGCAGTATAAGCCCACAAGGACAAACTAAAGTACTAAACACTAAACAGTATTATCTCTTGTGATATTTGCATAATTCATAATAACTTCGCTAGATAAAGGGAAAAAATCATTGACTGCTTTTCTTACCTACCTACGTCGCAGTTATTAGTTTATTTTTAATACATGTGTACGTACGAAGAAACATTCGACCGTCGACAATATAATAATTTGTATACACCAGCGAGTTTAGTAATGGTTACGTAAGTTGTCGTGTTTTTTTGTCGAGAATTTTGTATTTCAATCGACTCATAATTTTCATTATTAGTCTTTTGATTGGATTGAATTAGAACCATTGTGTTTTCCGAACTAACTACGACGAACGCACATTCTTAGTTTCGTCCACATTCGACACAATGGCTGACCTGATGTTTGATTATCAATTCCGTTTGATACTAATCGGCGACAGTACGGTGGGCAAGAGTTCACTGTTAAAATTTTTCAATGATGGTAAATTCGTCGAGGTAAAAACTTTTTCAAAATTACCAAGTATGTTGTTCATTTCATACATTTTTTTTCTTAAAATTATTATTTACTAGGTATCTGATCCAACGGTTGGCGTTGATTTCTTTGCTAGAACAATACAAATACCTAGCGGTCCACGAATAAAATTACAGTTATGGGACACAGCTGGTCAAGAGCGATTTAGGTGAGTAAAAATTGTTTTTGTTTTTATTATTGTTCATGGTTATATTTTGTATATTATAGATCAATTACAAAATCCTACTATCGAAATTCAGTAGGTGCTCTATTAATTTATGACATAACAAAACGAGCCAGTTTTGATCATATACCTATTTGGATGAATGATGCCAAACGACACATTGAACCTCATCGGCCCGTATTTGTCTTAGTTGGGTGCAAATTAGATTTGGTAAGTTTAATATGTTATGGTACAAGTATGCATTCTAAGAATTTAAAATATTATTAAAAAGTACCTATATATAAGATWTTTTGTGTAGCTATTCAAATCCTTTTACTATTGCATATTATTATACTTTGAGTTTTGATTAGAATATACATTAACTATTAATTAACTTAATTTGTTTTATTATTATTAAATTTTTGCATTTATTTATTTAGGACAGACGTTCCTAAATTTTTCATAGTACAAACAAGTTTGGAAAATGTAATTTGACACTACATATTATTAACTTTTTTTTATTTCATTGGAGATCACAATCCTTGCTATAATTTTTAGTTTGATAAAGACACATAACTGCTACACTGATTATTGTTGCAAACAATCATCTAAATTATATCATTTTATCAATGATAAAACTAAATTCAAACAATTTTGGACAATTTAGTTACCTACACAGAAAATGGCTTATTATATTTATTTTAATTTATTCATAAAATATATTTTTTATCTTATGTATATAATTTATAATAATCTAATGTTAAATATTTTCTACTTAAAAAAATAAAATATATATATATATAGAAATATTTCAAAGCTTTACGTGACCTAGCAAAAATATTATTGTCACAAATCAACTGTTTAGAAACCCTGACTTAAAGATTCCATACTGAGTTACAATAATGTATTGGTTTCACTCTTAAATTATCATGATAAAGTAAATTAAATACTGTTTTTAAAATATATGTGTTTTACTAARGTTAATTGCCTTTATGAATTATAATGTATATTCTGTTAAACTCTGATAGTAGATTGTTTTAAATTGAGTAAAAATTAATTAAGATAACAAAGGTTACAAGGTTTGATATTTGATACTACTTGATATTTTTAGTATACTAAGTGGAAACTTTCCTTATATGTGTCCAATACCATTTAATTAAAAATGAAAAAGTATTTGATTATTTTATTATGACAAAATAGGCTATGGAAATTAAAAATAAATAATGAAATCAGCTTATATATAATAGGTATCTACWTAGTATGTTTTTTATTCAAAATTGAATATTATTTAAATTTGAATTATTAAAGCTTAAGAGATTTTAAAATTACCACCAATCCTAAATTAGTTTGTTTTCCATAGGTAAATAATGGTGCTGGTAAGAGGGAAGTGACTGAAGAAGAGGCCAAACAATTTGGTGCAGAACATAATATATTCACTGTTGAAACATCTGCAAAAACTGGTTCTAATGTTGAATTGGCATTTTCTKCTATTACCCAAGAAGTAATTTATTTATTCACTTACAAATAGGTTATTATTTATATTATAGAAGTCTATTATATTTTTTGTCATATCCTTTTAATAAAAGTAATATCAATAAATTGAAAAAATAAAGTTATATTATCTATTGTTTATTAAATAATAAATATTATTTATTTTAGATTTATCAGAGGATAAAGAGTGGTGAATACCAAATGGAAGAAGGTTGGGATGGCATTAAAAGTGGCTATTCACATCATTCAGCTAACATTGATTTCAACAACTATATTGAAGCTGAACCAGCTAAGTCATGCTGTTAAAACTTGAATCGCCTTAACAAAGCTTATTATTCTTTTTTCTTATCCTTAACTAAGTAACAATTTTATAAAACAAACATTTAGCTTTGATGAATCTTATGTTTAAACTTTTTAAATGTTTATTTTGACAAATATTAACCTAAGGTAAATATTATGTAAGCTACACTTAGGAGAATGGTACAAGACTAGTGTTCTATGAATTATTGTAAACTATAGTTTATTTTATATATATATTATATGTATAACTTTTTTTTGCACATAATTATATTTTTTTAATATGAATATTTTACAATTATGCTTTGTATAAATTATGTGTCGTACTCAAAAATAAATTGCTATAATTTATTTCCAAATGTCAACATACACTGTCTTATTCCTTGTTGGCATAGATGGTAGTCTCTGAAAGGTGGCACCATGTGCTTATGTAGTAACGTTAAAAGTGCTATGAACTCTGATAAAGCCTTCTCATAATTGTGCTTATCCATCAACTGTTTGGCAACCAAATATTTATTCTCTGTATCCTTAAAGAACAATTTTTATTATTAATATTGCTTATTAGTTATTAAATTTAATTGAACTATAGATACTTGTAAAACTTTTAAAATTGGTAACAGTTTAGTAGTTTTTGAGCAAACCATACACTGGATTGCAAACTCCATTGATTCTGTTGTCACTATGATTACATTTTCGCAATTTATACACCGGATCCTGAGTGATGTATTTGTCTTCATCTGTTCCCAAGTTGGCCAATCTTGGCTGCAGGCAATACAATTACATTCAAACCAATACCTATCAAAACAAATCCAATGTATTTCAAATAGTTTACTTAAATATTTTGTTTTGTATAATCCATAGAATAATTCATTAGGAATGCCAATTTAGCGGGCTTAGTAAGTTTTAAGATTTTTAATGTTTGTTTTCAACTAACAGCTATTGATCAGTTCATTATTTTGATTTAATTATATTTTCCATTAATATAAATTTGTACTCATTTTACATCACATGAAAATAAAATTACGGACAATCATAATGTTTGTGTATATATATATATATATATATATATATATATATATTATGACAACTTATACCTGTAAAATGAGATTTTAGTAGTTAACTATCATTAGCACTCTACACCGTTTTATTAGTACATTCAACTAACTAGTAAAACTATGTTTTTTATTCTATACAAAATTTAAACAGTAGTAAAATTGATGATAACATTGAAGTAGAATGTGTTAATTATTTGAATATCTCATGTATTAAAATGTTGAAACCTAACTAGATTTCAATGATCAATAATTTTTTAACTGATCTATTAATTTTCTAAATTATATTAAAAATATTAATTTAATCTACGAATATAAAATAATACCAACAATGTAATCTATTATATAATTAAAAATCAATAGTGTTCAAYTATTATTGAGATTTACAAAAATTGAAATAGTGAATACCTATTTATAAGTGTCTGCTGTCGCTCTTCTTTTGGGTGGAACATAAACATTGGGCCATAGTTTTCTGTAATTGCTTCTCCAGCACGTAATTCACGAATGTTGTGTACCACGACCGTTGTTCCTCGGTGGTACCTACATATTTTGAACAGTTAACCAATCGCCATTATAGGCTTGCCAGATTAAGTAGTTCACCAAAAAAGCGCACATCAGTTACACTAAGTAAGTGTACAATAATATATGCATACCTGACAACGCATGGGTCGCAAGAGTGGTTGAGCAAAGCTAGAGTCGGGTAAATGGAACCACCGATGAATACTGTCTCTTGGCCATCGCCAAGTTGTCGGAGTTCGGACACTTCAAAAGCGTTAAACTGGAGCAGCAGTAGATGATGTAATAACAGACATCCAATAAATAACTCGTCGTCGGTCGGTTGACCGTCTGTGTTGCAGTCCGCAGTGAAATAGTTTGTCTTTTTCAAACAGGACAAGTAAAACGCAGCTACGTGCGTTCTGTGCAATATGTCCTGTACAGATCTCGTCTCCCGATGGGTGACCAAGTCGTACAAGTTGACGTAGTTGTCAGGTTGGTGTTTACCACGCGGCCTCTGCGTCTGGAAAATTGTAAATTATTTATAAATTATAAGTATAGGGCATATCACAAGCATGACAACATAAGTGGCATAGCCCTCGCCCCTCACCCCCTTGGATGTATTTAGGTACCGGCCTATTGCCTGAAGCAACAAAAAAGGGGGGAAATTTTTCTCAGATATTAAGGGAATACTTCAATAATATTTACGATTGGTCATTCAGTTAAACGTTTAAACCTCTTCTTCCTATGACCTGCAATAATAACGAATATTTCATTTTTTCGGATTAAATTATAAGTAATAGATTTTATGTTACTTTTATAACTACCTATATATCATATCAATTTGTTGAAGGATTGGATAAGACGAAAAATGGCTGAAAGGCGGAAAATTGGGAATGGTGTCTTCTATAGGYGAAAAATTCTAAATTCCTAATACGCCGTTGACCTCCCCCCGCTAAAGCCTTAGAAACTTAGTGCATCTAAGCTCTTACAAGTTATAATATTATAATCAACGAGCTGCAGTTACATGATTCAACAACTTTGGTCGTARGTCGAGAAAGTACTTCAACGGCCGTTGCGTGATTATTCGAAGTGCAATCAAACACGTTATGGAAACGCCGGCCGAGAAGAGCGCAGGCAACATCGAACATTCTATCGCGTGATACGACTTTAAGGCGCTCCTTTTGCAAAACTCGCTGCAAAAAGCCACTCTTTCGCAATCCGGACACGGCAAAGGCGCCACAAGCCTGCGGTGAACACAAAAACAATAATTAATTAGGTGAATAATATAATATTATAATATTAGAGAGGTAATCTCTAACCCGTTTTGACACACGACCCATTTTGAAAAAAAATATTTATTTTTTGAGACACGTTTATACTATTCTATAGGATTGTAGGACTGGGTCACTGTGCTATCGTGCAATTTCACAGAGGACCGATGTCATACTATGTCCTAAGAGCAAAATAATCAATGAGTGTTCCTAAAAAGTAATAACCACAAAATAAATAAAGGACTAAAACGTTATAATATATTTATATTATATTATCTTAGTCCGTGACATCCAGATAATTTTAAAACGTAGGTATAGGTATGTCGGCGCTATCTAACTAGAAAATTGAAAAGCTAGAATTCAGTGTTTCTTAACCTTTTTGATATCACGGAACACCAAGCAATAATATTTTTTTCATGCGGAACCCCTCTGRAAATATCTTTAAAAAAGAAGGATACACAAAACATGGCGATAAGCGGCAACATTAGAAATGCACTAAACTTTAATGATTTAAATACTAAATACACTGTATAAAAATACAATTAAATTATTTATTTAGAATTTAGATTATATTGAGAARTAACATTATACATATAATATATTTAGATTAGATTGTAATAACAGGAAAAATAATAATACAATTATTGCATGAATCTTAATGGGATGGTTGCGCTTGAATATGACTGCATAATATGTTATCAATATCTGGAGTAAGGTTTGTCAATGAAAGTCTTAGTGTCGGTGTCACACTCAATCTATTTCGATATGTTTTTGGTATTTTTAATATTTTGATAAAAACACAGCACAGCACTTTCGCGGAACCCTCAAGTGATCTTCGCGAAACCCTAGGGTTCCGCGGAACACAGGTTAAGAAACACTGAGCTAGATGACCAGTTGTTATTATAGGCATTCGAATTCAATATAATTTAGCAACAGCAGATTACACTGCTGTTATCGAATTAATATAAATCTAAATAATACCGACCAATGCCGTAACGACGTTAGGTTAGATTAAGCCTCACYAAACCTAACCAAACCACACTAAACCTAACTAAACCCAACTGAACAAGCAGACTTTATTCGCAGGAGATGCCATTATAATTCAAAATAACTCAATTTTTAACTCTCTTCAAAAAAAAAAATATATATAAATCAGAATTTTTTTCTAAAAAAATGTAATACATAACTACAAAACTCTCTGTTAGGTATGTTTGTGATAAAAATTATGATAATATTGATAGTTTTCACTATTAAAAGTAAAAACATAAAACAAGCTATCTGAGTAGACTGCAGCCTGCAGGGGGTGCCATGGCATACCCGGCATCCCCCCTGTGCACGCCTATGCTRAACAGCCCGTGTGACCGTGTCTCGGCTAGTYGGCTCGTGACTCGTCACTGGCCACTGTTAATGTATTATGCACCTACTTCCTAAGTAAAATAATCCATATGTCTATCAAATATTTCATAGGTACTCTAGATTTTATCCATCATGTATGATTTATCATAATATAAAGTACTAAGTAAATAACAAATGATGCATAAAATAAATTCAATTTTTAAAATCATTTATCACCTTAGTCATCTCTTAATTATGGTGAGTTGTGAGTAACAAAAAGACAAAAATTAAGTACCTACCTGACGAAACAGTTGGTACAATGCGAATGACTGTACTCGCGAAGTAGAACTGAAGCGTACGCGCGCTCGGTGAGCAGAAGTTTTCCGACGGGTACGTCACTTCCGGCTACCGCGTGTCTTCCTTCAGTCTTGTTGTATTCGACGGACACTGCGTTGCTGAACGCCGGATACACGTCATTCCGTCCTCTGTACACTTCCGGTTCCTCCGGTTTCGTTGTACCGTGTTCCATTATCACTATAATATGCATGCATACGATACGAACGTTACGTAATATAAATAATTTAAAACAGTTGTATATTTTTTTTATAGTATCTTTACCGTGCTTCRTTTGGTTGTCCTTAACCAACATATTCAGCATGATCTGTATATCTAGCTGTCGTTTGCGTCGTTCGTCCGACGACAAATGCGAACCGTCCAGAGACCGCAATGTTGCCCTAAACGACTCTAATGCCAATTTCAATTGTTTCGTGGCTAGTAAACAACGTGCTTTCCTATGTTTTAATACAATACGAAAATACGATAATGAGTGACCTCGTTATTAGATAGGTACGTAATATATTTTCTATTTAATTATTATAACGCGACAAAAATACAAAATATTATTTATGTGATCCACTTACGGCTTTATAACTACTTATTAAAAAGTAGTTTAGCTTAGGTACTTAACTTTAGCTGATTTAAGTGAATATTATTTTCATATATTAATTTTAAACAATATGTTATGTTTTTTTTATTAGGTATATCTAAATTACTATAAATGTACTTGTTTGTACAGATTATTTTTAAAATAAAGGAAAAAGAAAAAAAAACATGGCGTGAGTTAAATGTATTATTTGTTATTTTGTGAACTATTTACTAATAACTTCTAACTTAAAGATCTCGTGTTCATTTATTAACTAAACACAACATTCCCCGCCAGGGCCTGATTTAGGCATTTTGTGGCCTTAGGCAAAATAAAAAATGTGGCCTCTTGGGTCCAAAATTATAAATACGTATTTCAGTATTTGCGTACCTAAATAAAATACCTATACAGTATACATGTAACATCGATAAAAGGATTGCCGATAATAGTTGACAGGTTACAGGTATATAATATTTATTTATTAGTATATACCACGTGTGACCTACCTATCGTACACTTTGTATTGTAGATCCTTGGGATATCCGTTGTCGATTGCTCGCTGTATGTCCGAAATGGCCAGATCGTAATTTTTTAAATGATATAGACATGCCGATCTATTGGCGTAGACAATCGATAGATGTATCCTCCAATCTGCCAAAAAACACTTCATGACTTCATGAGTCACGATGGTCAACTTTTCGTCCTCACCCCCC